TGGGACAAATATTAACTAAACCCTAATTAAAAGTGGCAATCAAAGAACCATTTAGTTGCTAAGTTATTACTGAAGTGCCATTGACTGGTGGACCCGAATTATCCAATTATCATGATTTTTTTTTTCACGGAGTCGAATCCATTAAGAATAAGTCTCTCGCGAGTCTGAATATTTATAATAATTAAAAATTCTCATAAATTATTATAAAATACAAATAATCGGGAGACATAGGTCAAAGGGATCGTATTTGACGGTCGACGAAGGTTGAAACGATCGTAGTCAGGCGATGATGGTCGAAAAGACTGTAGTCGGGTGATGGCGATTGAAAGGACCTTAGTCGAGTGATGGCGGTTGGAAGGACCGTATTTGGCAGGATTCATATTTGGATATCATCTGGTGAGCCACTCGATTCGACTATAAACATGTCATATTTGAATATCATCGGGTCATCTAATTAATGCTTTGAAGCTTTCAAGTAGGCTTTGGTTCCTTGAATTGAGTCTATTTGGGCTCGAATTAGACCGAATTTAGTGTCATTGGATCCGTCTCCTTGTGATGTTCAATTTGAGTATAAGTTTGCTGAAGTCGGGATTCAGATGGTCCCGAATTTAATTTTAGAAGTTTTCCATTTAGATTTGCATCAAGATTTGTGTAAAATCAAGATAATTTTTTGGTGAGGCTTATTAAAGTTTTGACTGGAAAATTTAAAATTAATAAAAATTGTCAAGTTATAAAAAAAAGTGTATTTTAATTTTAAAATATTTTAATCTGAATTATTTAATCAAACCTTTATCACCTCAAATTACAATTTTAAAAAGCACATACGTTTAAATTTTACTTTGTTTCTAAATTATTTTATATCATATATAATTTATTTCTCCAAACAATTTTATTTTGTTTCTAAATTATTTTACTTTGACATGCATATTGTTTCAGTTGACTTTTAATAGGACACAATGGAGAAAAAGGATTCATGTAGCCGACCCCACGTAGTGGGATAAAGGCTTGATGTTGTTGTTGTTGTTGTTGTTGTTGTTTGTCTGCATATTGTTTCAGTACTGTGCTTTGATTTCAGTTGTAGTCTTTGGTAACCTGCTGGGCTTTTTGAAGCTCATTATATGTGATTAATATTTTCAGTTCTTGGCAAGGGAGCAGGAAGTGATGGTTGATCAAGACTGTCGACGAATCCTTTCACTATAGACGTCTGAGATGTCACACCCAAAGAGAAGGAAAATCACGGTGTGTAACCGCTTTAAGCTTGAGAAATACAATCGGGTGGAAGCACCAAAAAGCTCCTCAAGAAAGGAATGAGAAGATGATTTATTGTCAAGGAAACCGGGATCCCGCACTCGATTGACCACCATGCCGACCGGGGACGGCCGGAGGAGGAAAAACCACAAAAAAAATCAAACAAAACAAGACACATGACACAACAACCAGAATAAAAATGGAAAAAACCTGGACATCAACGGCCAAACGAAGCCGAGAACGATCGGCAGTCTGCTAGGCGCAAACCCTAGCAGAGCACACGGAGCAGGAGGACTTGTGTTCTTTTAGAAAATTCTTCCATTTCCACCGATTGAACATAGCCAAGTTAAGTATCTAATCTTGATTGTAATACTGAAATCCTATAAATAAAGGGTCGAGAAGTAATTTTCAAGGGAGGTCATTTAGGATAAATTTCAAGTTTATTTTAAATATTAGTTTAATAAAAAATTAATTCAATGCTAATCAAATCCAAATACATTTAGAATTTATTTTATATTGAGTTTGAAATTCTCTTATAAATTGTTTGAAAAAATATTGGGACAAATATTAACTAAATCCTAATTAAAAGTGGCAATCAAAGAACCATTTAGTTGCTAAGTTATTACTGAAGTGCCATTGACTGGTGGACCCGAATTATCCAATTATCATGATTTTTTTTTTCACGGAGTCAAATCCATTAAGAATAAGTCTCTCGCGAGTCTGAATATTTATAATAATAAAAATTTCTCAAAAATTATTATAAAATACAAATAATCGGGAGACATAGGTCAAATGGATCATAGTCGACGGTCGACGAATGTTGGAACGATTGTAGTCAGACAATGATGGTCGAAAAGACCGTAGTCGGTCGATGGCGATTGAAAGGACCTTTGTCAGGCGATGACGGTTGGAAGAACCGTAGTTGGCAAGATTCATATTTGGATATCGTCTGGTGAGCCACTCGATTTAACTATAAATATGTCATATTTGGATATCATCGGGTCATCCAATTAATGCTTTGAAGCTTTCAAGTAGGATTTGGTTCCTTGAATTGAGTCTATTTGGGCTCGAATTAGACCGAATTTAGTATCATTGGAACCGTCTCTTTGTGATGTTCAATTTGACTATAAGTTTGCTGAAGTCGGGATTCAAATGGTCCCAAATTTAATTTTAGAAGTTTTCCATTCAGATTTACATCAAAATTCGTGTAAAATCAAGATAATTTTTGTGAGGAGTATTAATATTTTGACTGGAAAATTTAAAATTAATAAAAATTGTCAAGCTATAAAATAAAAGTGTATTTTAGTTTTAAAATATTTTAATCTGAATTATTTACTCAAACCTTTATCACCTCAATTTACAATTTTAAAAAGCACATACGTTTAAATTTTACTTTGTTTCTAAATTATTTTATATCATATATAATTTATTACCATAAATTCTTAATTATAAACAGGTAATTTATAATAATATTATTATTTATTTATAAAGTAAAGTAAGTTTAATTTATATTCTAAATGATTAATTATTTTTTTTATTTCAAATTGAAACTAACTTGTTCAAACTGAGCTCAAGATGACCCGTATCAACTATTAACTTTGGACGGGTAGTGAGTGATGACCCTATTTGCCACTTGTCCTCGTGAGATCAATTTGGAGGATGCTATCAACTATTAATTTTTTATGATGGAAACTTTACATGTTTACCTTCTAAATTCAAAGAGATATTCATATAAATATTTAAAAAATTTTATATAACTATTAGAATTACAAAAAAATTCAATCAAATAATATACTCAAAAATTTGTGTACGAAAATCAACCGATAAAAAATCGATTTCATATAATCAAAACGTTCAAAATAAAACGTACAATGACATATTAAAAGTTATATGGAGAAAATTTTGTAAAATATTAGAAAAATGCATTTTATCCATATTTTTTAATAAAGCTACTTGAATTAAAATCTTTTAGTAGGAGTTCAAAAGTTTACCTCATACTTTACAAAATCCATAATTGGCCTGATAGACGCCGCCCAGGCTTTGGCTGCCAAAACCTTTCTCCTCCTTTGTCTCTCTTCTTATCCTCTCTCCTTCTACTCCTCTCTTCTGTGACCATGGATGGTTGAAGTGAGTTTAACAAATGATTTTGAATATTTTATTTTTTTTAACTACTAATTTGTCCTAATGTTGCGGTGTTGGCTTGTCAAGGCTGCAAAATTGAACTAAATCTTCTAGATTCCCCTGGAAAATTTCTAAACATAGAACATGGCACCATGGCGGCACCATCCAATGATGCAGTGCAAGTTCAAACTTGTTTTATCACTTGAGAGCTCTAACGCCACGGTGTTGCCAAGTTGGCACTGTAACGCTCCCATAGGAAGAATTTAAATGAATAACATTCACTTCTTAGACCATCTCTGAGTTCACTTAAGGTCTCCCTACACATTCTATGACTAATAATTATAAATTAGTTCAAATCCAAACTAGCATTTAATTTAATTAACCTTAATTACCAAAATTTTGAAACAATGGATATTTAGCTTATCATTAAAAGTATGAAATATTTTACCATAGTGAGAGTGGAATCAAATGTGAGCATGTTACTTAAGAGTTACATAAGAGATTTGGTTGTAGATTACATCAAAAGTTTGTTGAATATACCTGATAGTCCTATAGTAATCAAAACGTGCGTAGAGGTCAAAAGTCTTATCATATGGATCAATTATAGGTCATATAAACTCCACTTGAATATGACTTTTAGTTAGAAGTTGTGATCAGTGATAAATTTATTTATTTCCTTTGAAGTAAATTCCTCCTAAATATGATTTCATAAATTATCTCTTATAATATCACAAGAGGCTTAATAAAGTGAAGCTTATTTAAGTCCTTTATGGATGTTGAAGGATTATGAACTAGCCAAAAAGCATAGGAAGAATGGGTCGTTGAAATGACAATACCTGAGAGAATTTGATGAGGTTGTGATGGAGGGGTATAATAAGAGAAGGTATTGCTTCAGTGACATCTAATTGATCAAAGCTAAATTATTGTTGATTTTGTGATTGAAGAACGTCATTATGTTACAATGATGCTCTTTATTGTCTAGCATCCTCTAAGATTTATAAGATTTGAACTTGAAGGTATCAACATTTAAGTACCTTAATAATATCATAATCGAATGATCTTGAACTTATCAATTTTTTCTAATTCAGTTTCTCTGTTTGACTTTGAGCTTATAATATTTGTAGAGCATTTGATCATTCAATTGATTTTCTGTCAGCTCTAATTATGCTTCAAGTGTCTTATTTGAATTAATTTTGGGCATTGATCAACTATGAAACTTATTGAAATCAGAATTAGAATAATCATGAATTTAACTTCAAAAATTTTAAATTCAAATATTGTATCCATATTCATGTTGATCAAGTAACTTTTTAGGATACGTATTAACTATTTAGGAGACCAAATAAAAAAAAAAAATTCATAGTAATTTGAAGTCATATGGCAAATTTTTAAGTTATGAAATTACATTTCAAATGAGCACAAATTAATATAAGTAAAATTATAAATTCATTTTTTAAGAGGCAAGAAAAGCTTTTTATGATATATTTATGAGACCCACCAAATCAAGTTGGGTTTGGCTTACTTTGGTGGCAAAGTATCATATGAAGGAAAAAGTAGCCCACCACCCTTCCATTATGCCACGTCAGCACTCCCACGCGATGGAGCCTCTCCTATAAGTACTCGCAAGCGCCCGGCACGTGTGGAGGGGCTCCAAGCCTCCGGCCTTGAAAATAGAATTAAAAAAATTGCGAAAATTCGCTCCTGTTTCTAGAGAGAGAGAGAGAGAGTGAGAGGAGAGAGAAAGAGGGTGGGAGGCGGGTCCGAAAATGGGAAAAACCGTCGAGGCGAAGAGGAAGAAGAAGGGCCGTCCCTCTCTCTTGGATCTCCAGAAGCGCAGTCTCCGACTCCAGCAGCAACAGCAGAAGACAAACCCTAACCCTAACCCTAACTCCAATCCATACCTCCGGTTCCCCAACACTGGCGGTGGTACTGGCCGCCGGAGCACGCGCCGGAATCCGACCATCGAGCCAGTGGCGGATGTGCATGATGATGGGGAAGAGGATGATGGAAACATCGGGAAGCGGAGGGAGAAGAAACTTAAGCTCGTTCTTCGAATCGACGATCATTCTGAAAATTCAGTGCGGCATTCGGGATTCTCGGGCTCCGAATCGGAAGGAGAAGGCTCGCGCGCGCGCAGGAAGAGGAAGATCGAGGCCTTTGGTGGTGATGGTGATCGCTTAAAGGTTAGTGATCTTGTTTTATCTGTTCTTGGTCCGATTGGGTGCGGAGTCGCGGGGATCGGGTGACTCCGTGGCGCTTTTATTCTGCTGGTTATTTATATATGGTATATGGTACGGTTTGTCTTCGGATCGGTAATTCATGCGTCCATATCGGTTGGATTTCACTTGTATTTTTCTCGTGGATTTCCGGGCTGCGGAAGCTCTCTGATTTGACCAAGTCAATGCTTTGATCATTTTTAGACGCCCGAGTATTTTTCCTGCTGTAGCTTATTTGTTCCTTTATCTGGATGGGATTTCCTAATTTTTAATTTGCGGAAATAATTTACTGTTGATTTGCAACTGGGTTGACAATCTCACTATCTGCTCACTTCCCTCTCTCCTTGCGTCAGTTTTGTTTCTTCTGATTGCATTTTATATTGGTATGAGGTAGACGCAGTCTTCTTCTTAGTGATTTCGTTTTCGTTTTCCTGGCTTTTAGCCTATATCCTTTAACTGGTTTGTGGAAATGGTCGTTTGTTTTATGTCAGGTGGACACGCACAACTCCTTGAAAACGACGGAGTCTCTTCGAGGTTTGATGCTCATGCATTTAATTCTACTGGAGGAAAAGATAAATACGAATGATTTTTAATGGTTTTAAGTGATTTGCTTCTGCTTTGAGCAGCGGATACATCAAATTCGGGGCCCACGACAACTTTGCCAGACAAAAAGTTGTTGTTGTTCATCCTTGATACGCTGCAGAAGTGCGTCCTTTTGGCTCCTTTCCTGGGATCTTTTACTCATAGAGCCCTTTTTAGTTTGTTTTAGGCTTTTAACTAGTTCCAGCTTTTATTGTCTTTGTAATCCTACTGATTTGGATGAGATATTCCTGCTTAACTTCAGGAAGGATACATACGGAGTCTTCTCAGAACCAGTGGATCCTGAGGAGGTGCGCTGCTGAGTCAACTTTTCCTTTTACTGAATTTTCTGTCTTTTTGCGATTTCATTTATTGACATGGTGGGACTCTTTGTTTACAGCTCCCAGATTATCATGAAGTCATTGAGCATCCTATGGATTTCAGTACAGTACGGAAGAAGCTATCCCGTGGAGCCTACAAAAATTTGGAGCAGTTTGAGGTTGGTCACGGGCAAACTTGTGTGGATGATTTTTTATACTTTTCGCAACTGGCTAGGTTTCATGAATAGGGCTGTAAATCATACTCGGCATGCATATATATCCTGAGGGGATGTAGAGAATTTAGTTCCTGGTTTGGTGGTTACCAATCGGATGTTTGAAAAGTGGGCAAGCCTGCCTACAGTGTTGAGAATTATGCTTTTGATATTTCTAGGCTACTGCACAGATTTTAGCACGTTCAATGCAACTATTTATCATTGAAATCTCTCTTTTTATGATTCCTTCTGGGTCCGAGTTGATTTTTTGTTCCTTCTTTTACTTTTGTTGGCTTGAGACTTTTGTGTTGCGGTAATTTCAGTGATTTCTTTTATTTTTATGAATGTTTAAGTCAACTTCTATTTTCAGTTTTTTTGGCTTTATGGTTGGAAAAAAAAAAAGAATTAGAATCAAGAATTTCACTAGTTATGATACTACCAATGCTTCAGGCTCTGATTTGTTATTTGTTCTGGGTTATCAGTAACTTGAACTTGTATTCTGAGAATGCTTTATCTCGTCTGACTACATTTTTATATTGCATGGGTGGATACTTAGTACTTAATTCAAGCTAATACTTATTCACTTCCTCCATAATTTATTTTCTTCTTTGGTTGTCGCTCCTCTCGCCATTTACAAGGAGAGTGAAGTTATGTGGTACCACTTTAATTCATATTTTCGATACTTTCTGAATCATTTAGTACTTATGAACTGGTTACAGATTGTGTAAACTACATACCATAATGTTCAAAGTTGCGTTATTTCATTTCTAAGACATATACTTCTGACAAATTATTATGTAGTATGGTTGTTTTTCACTAAATACTTTAGTAGTCTTAATGATTGGTCTTAAAAGGATCTGGATGAAGATTGAACTGTTATACAGTGGAGTACATCTGTGCTCATATCTATGTGCTGTTATTCGTAATCTTGTATCAGATAACAACCAGCAGTCTATGACATGGAACTATATTCTGAACGTGTTTCATCAGTGCCATGATTTGTGTTGACTTTGTTCGCGAGCTTCCCCTGCAAATTGTATTTTGCAAGTCTCACACTGTAGCGTGACTTCTGTGATGTTGATCTAAGCCCCCAATCCCATGCCAATCCGTGTGATCCTTTGCTCTCGCTGAAATTGTTGATCCCAATGAAATTGTTGAAGTTGCAAATCCCCTATTCACTAATGTTACCCCTTGCTGCTATTCCCATCCCTGTTCCTCTTGCTTATCTAGTGATCTTTATGTGCCGTTATTCCTTTACTTGATACCTGGAGTTCAATGTTTTTGCACAATTTTGTTGTGAAAATCTCTAGCAACCAACTATGGCTAGGAATTTCCTGTAATTATAGAAGGGATATCCAAGACATGTGTTTGATGGATTTTTCTGGATGAAATGTCCTGTTTCTTCAAATTAATGCGCTTGTTGGATGATGAATTCTTCGAGTGCAGTACAAGTGTGACTACATATTTTCGAAATAAGGCTTCTCCTTGTATTATTTGTGAGACTTTTTTTATTTCGTAATTTTTTACCTTATCATTTTTGTATGCATAATTTGAAATTAGTTTTTACAAGTGTGGTTGATTTTAGTCAAAATTGCTACAATTGAATTTTCTTTGCAGTGAGATTCTTAATTAAAGAGTGATTTTTCATTGTTATCATTTTTTTGCAGAAATTTTTTTGATTTAAACGATCATTAAATTATCATTTAGAATGAATTCTTTATATTTTTCCAGCTTGATCAATAGAAAGCAAATTATTATTTTAATTGGTAGTCTTCAAATTTCCTATTCTAAATTTTGAGCGCATGAATTGTATTCATTGCATCATTAAGTTCCATTTGAAATCCTGGATGGCTGGATCATAAAACACCTTGCATTGAATTGGTATCAGAGCCACCTTGGTCTTAGATTTACAGCTAACAAATTATTTACATAAATCCTAGGCTTTTATACTAATTTTATTTCTAAAGCTAACATTACAGATAGTATCAATTTTATTGCTGATAATGGTTACCATTTACCATGGAATTTTAATAAAGCGAAAAGCAGGTCTACATGTGAGGATTTATTGATTACTTTTTAGAAAGTGCAATAATTATGTCTAGATTTATTTGATAAAAATTAAATATTGAATTTGTCATGGTTTAAACTTTTTCTAGTCGGCCAAATTGACACATAATTTCATCTCGTATATAATTCTTCGTGTTATTGTCATGTTTTGTTGGAACTTCCTTTCTGATCTCCACCGCAAGTAGTACACACATGCTTCACGTGATTGCACGACTTTTACGATGTTGATTCTAGCCATTTACTCTATGCCACTCCACAATATCATCTATCTGAATGAAATTGTCAATTTTGATGGAATTGCTAAAGCTACTAATCCCTTATTCTTTTATACTTATTTGTTGATCATGTTATTCAGCTAGTTATTTATGTGATTTCAATGCTTGGAGTTCAATTTTTTACAGGATTTTGTTGAGAATATAAAGTGCAATTGAATATGATTAGGGTTTTTTTATAGTTATAAAGAGAAATTTGAGGCATGTATTAGACAAAATTTGCTTGGTAAAAATTCTAATCTTATGAAATTTGTGTGCAATTGCACATGTTGGTTGTTTTATTCTTCGAATACTATGCAAGAGCAATTACTTATTTATGAGGGAAGTCTTCTCCTTGTACTCACATAAGGCCTTTGTATTTCCTTAGTTGTTAGCTCTTACCTTATTCTTTTAATCTAAATAATTTGAGATTGTTTTTTTCTAGTAGTTGATTTTAGTTGATCAAAATCGCTACAACTAAATTTTTTAAGTATGGCATGATTCTTAAACAAAACATGATTTTCTTATGTTTCTAAATTTCTTTGATTTAGATGATCTTTAATTAACATTTGATGCAGATTATTTGTATTTTCCCAATTTAATCAAATGAAAATTAGCTATTTTTTTAATTGGCCGTCTTTATTCTATATGTTGAATGCTTAAGTTTTATTCATCACATTATTTTGTTGTATTAGAAGCTTGATCTTATGATGTATCACATCACCTAGAAATTTCTTTAATGATGCATAACATCTTATTTATTGGCTAAATGTGAAAGGTTATTTTACATGCATGATTTCTTTCCCTTGCTCTATATTTGATAAAGTGAAGAACTTTTTTTTTAAGTCATATCCGAAAACAAATGCAACACTGAATAATCTATGACTACTAAATATGAGTTTTTTATGATTAGATTTTTCTATATTATATATGCATCAATTAGGTGATTGGGTTAAAATTATCATTAACATTACCTCAATTTTTGGCGGTCGGCTTGATTACTATTATCCTTTTTAATCCTTCTACTTGTCTATTGAGCTACTTTTAGTCTAACTTTTGTTGTATATGTCTAAGCAGCTCAAGTCTATTTACGATAGATGTAATTCCAACTATCCTCATCATATAATCATTATTTAGTTTATCCTTTCTAGTTTTGTGGTCCATCAATTTTAACTCATTTTTGTCATGCTCTACATAGTTATCAATGATTTTTGTATTGCCTGATAATTGGATTCATGCAACATAGCCAAACGAATTTTAAGGAAAATTTATATTTAATTCTTCCTTACATACTCATGAGATTCTTCTCCATTTTAACTACCTAATTTTAACTCCTAAAGTTATATTCTTATTTTTTGCATATAAATCGAAATGCTTCAACTTATCACTTATAATCATGACTTTATCCTCTAATAATATTGATTGAGAATTGTTAATTTTACACTTTAAATTGCATATCATATAGTAAGCCTTTTCTATTACTAATTCTAAGCTCTCTATCTATGAAATAACTTCATTGTTTTGACTTTTCCTATATTCCAACAAATGTCCTATCAATTAGAATTGTCATCTATGCCTGCACCAAGGCATCTTATTTTGAATATTCTTTGTATGCTTCTCCATATTTAATATAATATTATTTAGGTATCATTTTGTAAAATGAATTATCTTGGAAATTGCTGATTGAGCTAAACTCGTCTCATTTTCTCACAATATTTTGCATTTATCAGGTTGAGCACTACCTACAAAATCATTGTACTAAAATATTACTAATGAAATGTGTTTCAGTTAAATTAACACTTAATTTATACATCTTACTAAGCTGATTACCTTTGACTTTTAGTGGAAGTGTGAGTCATGATACATGAATTTTGTGGCTTACTCCACATAAAAGCTGCATGAATTTCCATTTTTTAAAAGATATATACAACGAGAGGCGTCCATTTTTCTAGACAAAATGATGTGGTGCCCGAGTTTGTAGAACCCTTTTGGATTTGGCTATTGTTCTAATTTTATTTCACACACTTTCCGTTTGTGACTTTTGATTTTCCTTGGATTATAATGCTAGGCAATTGTTTTCATTTTTTATCCTTTTTATATGCGACACTTTAGCTATCTTTAGTTGCTTTTCAAGTACATGTATTGTAGCGGAGCACGATTGTTGATTTCTCTTTTTTTTCAATATTGTACTATCGTTGAAGTCGGATAATGTTAGAAATTGTGGAAATGAGATTTTAATGTTGGTAATGTTTTGAAACTATAATTGAAAAGTTTTTATTCTTGTTTAAATTCAAGTAGAATTTAAACCTTTTTTTTTTATTAATCATGGAGCATTTTGAAAAACTTTTTATTTTAAGTTCTTCTATATAGAACTCCTAAGCATATAAAATAAGACTTAAAACACTATATGATGAAATAAAATTGGACAAATCGTGATTTTAAATAAACAAACTGTAACTATTGCGAGGTTCAAATAATATACATGCATTCGATGAGAAGTATAACGTAAAGGGATTTTTAGAATGGGTTGAGAATTTGAATTCTTTTCTGAGTATTATTATCTCTATGATTGTGAAAGACTTGAATGTGCTATAACTTAATTAGTGGGTCATGCTCACTAGTTTTTGCAAGATATTACAAATGAACCAAAACCTTCATGGTTGGTCCAAAATATAATTTAAAGAATGATATCTAATGTCTGATGAATACAGATATCAACTGCATGAACAATTTAAGTACTATAAGTAAGGTGAATATGCTGTATATGAATGTTATGATAGGTTTATGAGCATTCTAGTTAAAAATCTTTTTTGATAAGATTATTTTGTTACTGTTATTTATTTCATTAAAGGTCTTACACAAGATATTAAGAATGAACTATGCTACAATTTACTTAAAATACTATGTGAAGCTTTAACTAGATGTTTGAATGACAATTCATATTACGATTGCTCTATTAGGATTGCCTAATATAAATTTAAAATCCCTAATGAAATATCACTATGATAACCTCTTAACTATACTTTCAAAATGAGTAGAACCAGGTTTCAATATTAGAGTTGCATAATATTTCACCGAAGGGATGAGATTTTGATTACCTTGCAAAACCAAATGAGAGAATTTCAAGTCAAAATGACAAAATGAACAGTGAAATGAATCAAGAAAAGTCTCTACAATCTGAACATGAGCTAGGTGGAATTCAAACTTAATGATAATATAATGATATGCCTGAATCCTATAAGGGTTCCTATTAGGATCTTTAAGAATGTAATTATAAGAAATTCGGGGTCATATAAAATAATACAATTCATTTGAATATATACTTATGAATGGCTTAACCTAACTGCAGCAAGTACACTTTAAGCCTGATGTGCTTTGGAGTAGTTGTATTGTCTGGTCACCTGTTTACCGTTGAAATTTTTATTTGATGATGACTGTGCCTAAGTTGGGGCCTAGCAGACTCAGTTTTCTCCACAATCTCAACGGTTCTCAATACATTTATTAGCACATTGAAGACCCTCCTTAGTCTTCTAGTGGACTACAGGAGCTATACAGTTTGGTCAATCTTCAATGTTTGGTGGATTGTGAAAGAGTGTTTTACAAACTCTTCCTTAATAATGGATAGTGTTTAAGTCGTTAAAGCAGATAATTTATTCACTTAATGGTTTCCTTAATGGGATTTTTAGAAGCAGAGTCACCCAAATGTGCTTGAAGCAGAAGAGTTTTGTTGTAATCTTGCCCATGCATTTAGTTCGTTGTTTTCTAATGTCTGTACAAGAGAATTTGAGTGAATTTTGACTTCTGTTAATTCTAGATGTTGCTATGACGCTCTGATGTTACTTCTTAGTTGAGCAAATTTTCAGCATGCTTTCAAACTACAGAAAAATCAATGATATGTGAAATTTATAACCTTGATGGTGACGTTGCGTTTACATGAATATAACCATCAGAGCTATTTTAAGGTTTGAATCTGCATGATGATGACTAATGAGTTTTTTTCTTTTTTCTTTTTCATAGTCTAGAAATACTTGATATTAAATATATTGGCTATATCTTGATGGTAAACTACTACCCACCATTTCATATTTGTCTTTTATCATTCTTATTAGGGGATTCATGTGTATTTGTTATATTCCTGGATCCCCCTGACAAGTTGGCTTACTTTATAGTGTTCATTTTATTTGAGATTTTGAGCCATGAATGTCAGCCACTCGGTCCCCATATAATTTTCTGTCTCAATATGTGTTTTAATATTTCAGCTATTTTGTCACACTGGCTTCTTTTAAATTAGCAATTTTACCGAGCTATTTTTTGGGAAACTTTTTTTTTCTAGAATGCTAACATAATAAATTTGCAGGGATATTTAGAAATCATCAGATAATATGGTTTAGAGGGGCTGGCATAATCCAAATTGAATATATTCTTAGGTTTCGTTTGGGGTTGTTTTTTTATTGCTTTTTAAAGCGGCTTTCCAATAACAAAATTTTAATTTTTGCACTAACAAACCGCTTTAAGAAGCAGTAAAAAAGCCGTCCCAAACGAAGCCTTAATCGGATAAGTTGCATTACATATCAATATTGAAGCTTCTTGCAATAGACAGTAGATATATTTCATGATGCATTAGACCTGTTTTGTGCTTGTATGGCCTAATAACGTTTGTTTTACTTTGTCTACGTGCAGAAGGATGTGTTTCTGATTAGTTCAAATGCTATGCGCTACAATGCAACAGACACTATTTATTATCGGCAGGTAGATTTATTTAAGAATTTAATTTTGAGCTCCATTATAATTCTTTGCCTATCACCTATGAAATTATCTAAACCTGATATTAAACTGTATAGGCACGATCTATTCAAGACCTTGCAAAGAAGAATTTTGAAAACTTGAGGCAGGAAAGTGACAAAGAACCTGAAATAAAGACAGTTGTAAGAAGAGGTAGACCACCAAGTAAGAACATCGGCCGACCTGTTGGCCCGCCGCCTTCTGAGCTTGTTGCCTCGGGTTTCTCCTCAGATCCAACCCTAACTAATGCTGGTGGTAGCGCCAATTTGTTTAACCAAATTCATCCATTGTTGAAGAAAGGCCCTGCAACAGATAAGCCTGGATCAGCTGAAGTTTCTGGAAAAGTTTTGTATGGTCTCCGCAACTCCGATTCATTTGGTTGGATAAGCACGAACAAAGTCGACGCAAGAGAGGAATTCCCAGGTTTGTGAATTGTGATGGTAAATTTGATGTTTAATCACCTTTTCTTTGATGATGATGAGTTTTATAGTTTCCTTCTGGAGCGCAACAATTCAACTGGTATTTTCACTCTTGATTTCAGGTTCAGCTAAAGGGCTTACAAGCAGATTTGGCAAAAAAGTTCCAGTTATGGAAGAGAACCGGAGGAACACATACAGTCAATTCCAGCCATACAATTATGGATGTGAGCTACCAATTTGGTCTCTGTTTGATGGTGAGAAGAAACAGCTAGATGCGGTTCGTACTATTTTACACATTGATAATTTCTTCTAGTTTTAGTTGACACAGGAATGCGAGAAAATTCTTCACTCTTCCACTATCACTCCCATTTTCCCTAATAGGGTCGTCATCATCATTATATTCATTAGCCTTACACCTGTTCCGATATACATATCAATTTATTTATGGACTTCCAATAATTCCTTTGGCTGTTGAGATTTCCTAAAACTGGTGGAGGAACCTGGTTTGAATTCCGGTTAAAGATCCATGCTTGAGGTTCAGAGTTAGGTTTCGTTTGGGACGTTTTTTTTTATTGTTTATTAAAGCAGTTTTTTAGTAAAAAAAATTAATTTTTTACTAGAAAGCTATTTTAAAAAGTAGTAAAAAAGCCGTCCCAAACAAAAACTTAGATTTAAATGCGCCAAATTTAAACTATCCATTAATCAAATAAATTCATTCTTAAAAATTTATCTTTTTGATGCCGGCCCAGGTTGGACTTCATATGGAGCATGCATATGCCAGGAGCTTGGCTCGATTTGCGGCGCATCTTGGATCCCTTGGCTGGGCTATTGCCTCTAAGAAAATCGAAAAGGCTTTGCCTCCCGGAACAAAATTTGGCCGAGGATGGGTTGGAGACGACGAAATCCTGCAAAAATTTCAGCTACAATTTCAGTCTTCCTCTCCCTCGAACCAGTCTTCTCAAGCCACCATCTCTCCCTGCACCACAATTCTAAAAGGAAACAATAAACCTTCACAGAAGGTTGAACCTTCCTGTCGAAACACGCCTTCTGAAGACATTGGCAACAGCACAACAATGGCTTCAGCTGCTCCTTCCGATGTTGGCTCCTGTAACCACGGCGAAACTAATCACAATGAAACCGGCATCCTGTCGAAGCCGCCATTCCAGGTCCATCAGAACCGGGGAATCAATGGTTTTACCAGTGGATTCAGGTTCAACCTGCCTTCCCAGGCAGCTACCATGATGAAAACCATGAGACCACCTATGCCTTTTGGCTCTGAGCCACCAATGACCCCCGCCCGGGCACTCGACATGGCCCCAAGAAACGCGAACGGCAACACATTAATTCGAACACATTCGAGCCACTTCGATTCAGAGATGGCATTAACTTGTAATCCTCCACCTAGTTTTGGCAAAACGGTTGCAGACCTTGCCAATGATTCGCAATGGCGGTCTTCTTCGATGCCGGCGAAGTCGGAATCTATTCCACCTGATTTGAATATCAGATTCCAGTCTCCAGGATCACCAGTTCCGGCCGCCGGGGTCGATCCCCAACAACCTGATTTAGCCTTACAACTCTAATTAAACTATGATGGCTATGATTCTTGGTTTCTGGGAGATTTTTACCGGAGGGATATAACATATATAGATGAAGAGGGCTCATAACCACATTTGTTTGACTCAGAGCATTGTGTGATGAAGAAATTGAGATGCTCACTGTCGTTGAGCGATTGTACAGATTAAATTAATGTATCACTCTGATGACATTGATTCATCTTTTTAGTGACAATTCAAATCATCACTTGGCTATATGATAAGAGTTGATCCAGTTTTGCATCTTCTGGGCTCTTGTTGCTCTTTATGATTGATCATAAGAAGAATTCCTTGTGTTTTTTTTTTTTTTTTTTTTTTTTTTTTTTTCTTCTCTTTGATGCCACAACAGAGAAATATATTGGATGATTTTCGTTAAAAATGGTAGGTATGAAAGTTCTCTTGCTCTGATGTGATTAAAGTCTCGCAAGTTGCAGATTGCACCTGTAAAGAAAATTTAGCAGGCAGGTTGATGGCATCCATTTTCTTGCTTGGATTAGTAAAATTGTTACTGTGTAAAATTTTGCCATCATACAATAATAAGAACATCAAGCCTCTATTTCATTGTGGGGTTGGTTACATGAATACTATTTTTTTATTGTGTTATGGTAAAAGTTAAATTCTGATTTAAATTTAATAATGAAATGTCATTTCTAATATTTTTTAATTAAGTCTTTTTAGGTCTACCTCTACATTTCTTAACATAAGTCAAATCCAACACATCTACTTTACTAACTGAGTTATAGGAAGGCCGATGTTTTATGTGACCAAATCATTGAAGATGACTCTCTCTAATATTATCTTCCACATGAGCTATTCCAATATTTTCATGTATATTCTTATTTTGTATCATGTCTCTAAGAGTAAAGTCACTCGTCCACCTGAGCATCCTCATTTATGCAACACTTAACTTAATATTATATTTCTCTTTTAATGATCAAAATTTTATACCACAAAGTATTGCAGATCTCATCACCGTCTTATAGAATTTTTCCTTAAATTTGAAAGGAACTTTTCTATCACACAAGTAGTCTGATGAATTCCTTTACTTCAATCATTCAATTTAAATTCTACTGATAATATTCTCATCTATTTCACCATAACTCTAAATAATTGACCCAATATATCTAAAATGTGTACTCTTATTAATGACTAGATCATTAAAATATAATATATATTGTTGGTGCATCAAACTAATTTTTTAAAATTTTAGTTGATTTATCTAACTCTCTATATATATATAATCTAATTTTTTAAAATTTTTTATGACTTTGTTTTTTTCAAATTATTTATTATCACCTTGAATCTTATGTTGTTATTCAAATTTAAAATTTCGGAATTTGTGAATGTATGATTCCTTAGACAATTAAAGTTCTTTGCATTAATTGCAAAAAAAAAAAAAAATTGTGAGGAACTTGAGCTCTAAGGCCTTTCATGGCTTATTTCTATTGCCTTCTTTCTCTCATTGCTCAGCTGAACCTGGCAAGACCTTTGCTTGGAGTGCCTTACCTCCTATTTAGATGACAAATGGAATCAAAGAGTCTTCTATGATATTTGTTAAATTACATGCAAAGAACATTTATTTGTTTTCTGGTCTTTCAATTCCATTTTATAATGGCTGCTCTATTTTCATAATTGCATGAATATTTAATGCATCCAATTCAGAGTGACACAACTATTTAGATTTACGCTTCGTTTGGGACGGCTTTTTTACTGCTTTCTCAAACAGAGTTTTAATACAAAATAAAAAAAATTTGTACTAAAACTCCGTTTTATAAAGCAATAAAAAAGCCGTCCCAAACGAAGCCTTGGACTTAGGGTTCGTTTGGGACGGCTTTTTTATTGCTTTATAAAACGGAGTTTTAGTACAAATTTTTTTTATTTTGTATTAAAACTCTGTTTGAGAAAGCAGTAAAAAAGCCGTCCCAAACGAAGCGTAAATCTAAATAGTTGTGTCACTCTGAATTGGATGCATTAAATATTCATGCAATTATGAAAATAGAGCAGCCATTACTTTCAATTCCATTTTATAATGGCTGCTCTATTTTCATAATTGCATGAATATTTAATGCATGCAATTCAGAGTGGCACAACTATTTAGATTTAGACTTAGGCTTCGTTTGGGACGGCTTTTTTATTGCTTTTTAAAACGGAATTTTTGTTAAAAAATAAAAAAAATTGTACTAAAATTTCGTTTTATAAAGCAATAAAAAAGCCGTCCCAAACGAAGCCTTAGACTTAATTTGGAACGGCTTTTTTATTGCTTCATAAAATAATTTTTCAGCACAAAAATTTTAATTTTTATACTACAAAATTGCTTTAAGAAACAATAAGAAAGTCATCCTAAACGAAACTTTAAAACTTTTATATTTACTTATAATAGGCTTCATTTGGAACAACTTTTTTTAAAGCATTGTTAGCCTAAACTTCCAACAGCATCCTTAGCCTAAACTTCCAACTAAATTAATTTCTTGAATCTTGTCAGAAAATAAATAAATTTTGATGGAAAAACCTAAGAAATGGCCATTAAGACTAAGCTAAACCAACCATTTCTAACCCAAAATTACAAAACATAATTAAGTAAATATCATATTTTCAAGATAGTAATTTGGATTTAATATATATATATATATATATATATTGATACGGCATCACAAAATTAGCTTGATCGGGCACGAATCTCGAGGCGAAAGCTAGTTGCAAACTTCAAAAATTAATTCCGAGAGCACCCCAACTCCGATTTCAGCAAGCTTATAGTCGAACTGAGCGTCTCGGAAATACGAACCCAACGACACCAAGATCGACCCAATACGAGCCCAAATGAGTCTGAATCAAGGGCTCAAAGTGCTGTTGGA